TGTCCCACTGCAAGGCTGCAGCTCCCATGGTCTTGCCTTCCCTCAGCAGTGTCAACAACCTGCAAGGATCTCAATGGAGCATTTGAAAAATGAGGCTAATGCTGTTTTTTTTATAATGTTTGAGAGAGCAGGTTTGATTCCAGCCAGAAAACCTTAGATTGTCAGTTAAACCTCAGCTTTTCACTTAATCATGCAGTGAGACAGGCAACAAAACATGGCTTACTCCACAAAAGAAAAGCATTTGCTCCTCATCCTCTAATTCTGTAGTGGTCAGGGGAGCCAGAGATGGCACTGGGTGCTGGTGGTGTTCATAGGTTGCTTTAGGTACGTAAGTAAGGAGCCAGGGCTGCCTGGTAGTCCTTTTAAGTCACAGACATGGAGAAGGGGCTAGGAAGGGGTAGGGAACACTAGATAAAGTTAGCAGGACATAGGTTTGGAAACCACACAGAAGCGTTATGTGGAGCTCCATCCTGCAAGACTTCTTAATTGCTTAGACAAGTCAAAGAGGAAAAAGAACATAACTGGCAAGAGACAAACCAGACAACGTGGCCAGCTCAGGGTACCTCCAGCCACCGGTTGGTATATGTTGGCAGAGCCTCCTGGTGAAGACACCCTTAACCTTTTCCTATGCCTTTCCCTAGGCACCTGACTTGGGGGCAGACGCTCATAATGACAGAGCTGGGTATTAGCAATTAATGCTCCAGCTATAATACTGCAAGGTCTTCAGCAGTGACCCCGTCACCACACGTGGGGCCAGAAGGTGCATGTCCTGGTTTGAGCCAGGATGAAGCCAATTTTCCTTTTACTGATTTTTGTTTCCTTCAGCAAGCTTTCTTTTAACTAGTCACAGAGCCTTCCAACTAAGGCTGATAAGAGAGGAATGTTTTTGTAACTGCTGGGTCTTCAAGGCTGCACCTGCACTCTGCTGGCTCAGACACTACAGGGAGATCTATGCCCCCGTAGGAGGCTGAGTTAGACAGACAGCAAAATTGGGCAGAGATATTCCATTCCATGTATCTACGTAAGCTCAAAGGAAGGTCAGAGATCACAGAAGACAACTTCCTTCCTGCTTCTTCTTCCCTTCTCTTCCGTCCATGGCCGGTGTCCAGGGAGGACTCTGCTCATCCATCACCACCGACCCCCAGGCTCAAGCTCTCCTGACCCTCATCACTCTCCGCTTTCACCAGCAGCAGTTCCGGAATTTTTCAGGATTGTTTGCAGCTCAGGAGATGCTGTGGGAGTTGCTGGGGGTGGGGGGAGGTGAGACGCTTTTGCCCATATCTGAACATATTTGTATATAATTGTATATAAAGATATAGTAAAAAATTGTATATAAATTGTATATAAAGATAAAAATTGCATATAAAGATACAAAATTGTATATAAAGATATATATCTTTTATCATTAGTGTTTAATTAAAGCTGTGTAGCTCATTTTTCAATCCAGCCAAGTCTCTCTCTTTTTCTCTCTCCCCTACCTGTGTGGGAGGGGGAGGGGATTGAGAGCACTGTTGTCGGACCTGAGTCAGACGGTGACAGTCCAGCAAACACCGCAGACGCAGCAGGTCCCAGGGAGTTGTGGTGGGATTGACAGACCACTCACCATTGTCTGCCATTTCCTCACTCTGCGGTATCTATGATGGCAGCTTCCACCTGCCTGTAGACAGGGGGCAGCACTCGGACAACCTTGGGGAAGAGCTCCTGATTCTTCACATGCTCCAGAATACTGGTCTCGAGCTTTTTGTTATCACGGTGATCTGTGTGGTTGACAGCCACTAAGTTCAAGATCTGGAAGAGGGAAAGCACACACCTGCCAACAACACATCCAGAGGAGCCTTTTAGCCTGTCAAGTAAAGGAGGGACCTAATGCCAAAGAGGCCACCAAGGAAAGGATGGGGTGGGTGTGCTGCTGGCTCAGCTTCAGACGGTGCTTCTTTCACACATTTTCTCAGTAACAGTTCCCAGAAAAACACCTGGGGATGGTAAATGCCCCTCACATTCCTCCCCAGGCATTTGCTACAAACCATGGGAAGAGATGCCCATCACTAAGCAGGGACACAGCTAGGGACACAGCCATCTACCCCAGCATTGGGGAGCAGCTGCAGTAGTAGTCTGATGCAGTAGCATCAGGTCACCATCACCATTAGCACACTGGGCTGCCAGAGACAACAAGTGACCACAAACAGCAAGGAACTAGGATAACATCAGCCCTACCGTTAATGTGGAGCTTTCCATGTCCTCCAGCTTCTCCTCACTGCTCTCCAGGTTGTTGATGAAGTGAGTGAGGTTGCTTTTTCTCATCAGCATGGTTGCAATCTTGGCCATGATGCCACGCTTCTTCTCCTCCACCTCTTCCTCCTGGCAGCAGTCCACATGGGTTCCCATGGGAAGCACAACTGAGTTTGGGGCTCGCATGGACAGATTGTTGATCCAGAAACTGACAAGCTCCTTGAAAGTCTTTTCATTATTTTGGTACCTGGAGAGGGAGAGAAATAAAATCCTAAATGTATGTGTAACCCTATGGATCTCCAGGAAATTTCGACCAGCACAGGCCTGATCATGCACCCTGAGCTGCTCCAGGGGCTTGCTGGAGAATAGCTCAGAGCTTGTAAGCTGTCATGGGCTCTAAGGCTCATCCTTAAGTTTCCCATTCTTAAGCTAAGCCAATTAAAGCTATGAGGTGTAGCAGATTCTGTCTCTGCTGTGGACACAAGCATCCCTCTGTACCACAAAGCCCAATCCTGATGCTCCCTCCGTGTTCAGGGAGCATCACAAAATACAGGAGGGCTCACAGAGGTATTTCCAAGGCAGAAAGCAAAGACATGTAGATGGGAATCAGTTGTCACTTAAGGTGTTAATGCTCATCTAACCCCACAAAACAGAAGACTTCAGATCTACTGGTGGCTTAATTAAAAGTGATCTGCAAAAAGGGTGAAAGGGAAATAGCTACTCCAGCAGTGAGAAGAACAGACATCAAAGCCCAATGGAAATGGTGTGAAACTGCAGCTTCCCCAGCCCCTTTTTTCTTCTCCCACTGCACTTTGACTTCAAACCACCTCAGCACTTACACGTGGAGGTTGATAACAAGGATGACAAGTGCCTGTGGGGTGATGAATACATGGTGAGTCATGTAGTACTCCAGCTGGCCAGCAAAGACCCAGAAAAGAAATGTGAAGTTGTCAATCTGGAACTTGCTGATCTCTATCCCAACTGTCCACTCTTCCTTGGGCATCAGTTTGGTTTGCCCTTGCTTCAGATTTTTACAGATGGTGGATTTCCCTGCCAGTGAGGCACCCAGGAACATAGTTTTGACCCTCTTGTCCTCCTGCCCCAAACCACGTTGAAGCTGGTTGAAGTAACTCTGCATCTGCTGGATGCTGCCACCGCACATGTCACCAGGCGGCTCCTGGAGAGGGCTCCCATTGGCCTTGAACATTTTCAGGGATTGCCCCTGGAAGAGCTCCTTGCGGAGCTGCCGAAGGGCATTATTCTGCACATGTAGCTCCTGTAAATGTGTCAGCTGCACGACAGGCTGCGGGAAGATCCGGAACAGGTTGCTGGAGATGTTGAGGTACTGGAGGCTGCCTTGACAAGCCGCCAGGTCCCTGGGCAGGGCACCAAGACAGTTGTTGTTCAGCTGCAAGTGTTTAAGCCTGGGGAGATGGGAGAAGAGCCCCTCTGGGATTACCCCAATTTGGTTCTGATTCAGATAAAGCTTCTCTAAACAGACAAGGCTCTGGATTTCATTGGGAAAGTCTACGATCTTGTTCTTGGATAGTATCAGCTTCTTCAGGTTATGAAGCTTAGAAATGCCAGTGATGCTCCTGAACTTGTTCCTGTCACTCTCCAGCTCAGGGTTGCTCAGGACTGCTGAGGTTACACATGTAACCTCTGGGTAGAAAGACTCACTTCACCCAAACTATCCTCCTGCTCCTGACCTGGATGCATGTGACAGGATAGGTGGTTAAGAGACATTTTCACCCTTTGAGTTGCAGATAATTTTTTTCCTTGAGGTCTGCATGACTTTGGGATAATTTTGGCCAGCAAGGAAAGCAGAGGCAAAACACTGGAGCTGGTTAAACAGTGCAGCCACAGCTGCTGAGCCACTTCTCTCTTCTTTCAAGAATGGAACTAAAGCTGAGGCTCAAGGATCTTGGCTGAGCCTGAAGACACAGGAAGGAAATGGTGCCCACCAGACACCCACCTGTAGCCCAAGCATCATGTTAGCAGCTTTGTGCTCATTAAAGCACTGAAAGAGCACCAGCCACAGATGCATCTACCTCAAAACCAGCAGGTTTCTGATCCCAGCAGCAGGCTGGCAGGGCAGAGCCAACATCAAAAGAGCTGCTCTCCAAATAACTTGCCCAGCCCATCCTCAGCTCTCTACCACAGCTTCAGAGATGCATTGAGGCCAGGACTAGTGAGTTCAGACACTTCCTCTCTCTCATCCTGACCGCGCTCCAGATGCATCCTGCAATTCCCCAGAGATGCTCCCAGTCCTAGGAGACAGGAGGAATAATGTGGGGTGAGTGGCGTCCTCTGCAGGACAGGGTGCACAAGAACAGCATCCCAAAAGGAGGGTGTTTGGAGCAGAAAGGTTTGCAGGCAAGAAGAGTGCCAGGGGGATGTGGGATGGGAATCACGATACAAGAACAAAACACAGTCAGATCTACTTTCCTCTCCCTTGTTTCACTTCCTCACCAGATGACACCAAGCACATAATCTCCTTGCACAAGGCACCCTGCTTAAGACTGACTCTTCATCAGTTCTCAGCAAGCCCACCTAAACCCAGGATATGCAACAAGCCCAGCAGGAAAACAAGCTTTCACCCTCTCTCAAATGCCAAAGGGGTCCCACTGAAGATAATTGGGGCAGCTACTCACAGGCTCTGGGATGGGTCATTGCCCTGCAGTGTGGCACCAGCTGGATACTCCTGGTTGCTCTGCCTCCCTGTTTAATTTCCTCCTCTTATTTCACTCCCCGCCTGCTTGAGCTCTGCCCAGGAACCCCACCCTCTCTTTCTCCATCCATCCTCAGAGCAGCTCTCAACAAGTCAAGCACCTCTTGTTGGACACCAGGGCCATGGGTATATCCTGAAAGCAGCTCTAGAGGTCACCTACAAGACAAAGATGGAGGCAGAGTAGCTCTTGAGTCAACTTCTCACAGCAACATTGCTGCCTTTACTAAAGGAGCTTGTGGTGTTACCACTGTTGCAGAGGAGGGAAAGGACACTAACGAGAGGTTGTGCTACTACCAGACTACTACACATTTAAAAAAATAGGATTTCTTCCATTAAACAGGTGGCAGCACCTGATCCAAGAGGGTCACCCAGAAAGAAGAAGAACAAAAAGGAGAAAAAAAGAAAGGCAACTGCAAGTAGTATACACAGTATACTAGTCAAACTGTTTTCTAGAACATGACAGAAGACACGTTCAGACAAAAATCTTACAATCAAAAGGATCAAATCTTACAGGGAGCTACAGGCCAGTCAGTTTCAGCTCTCTGCCTGGCAAGATTATGAAGCAGATCCTCCTGTAAACTATGCTAAAATAAGTAGGGGATTGGCAACAGCAAACATGGCTTCACTAAGGGCAAAATGTGCCTGCCAATTTTGGTGGCCTTCTATGATGGGGTTCCAGCATTGGTGGATAAGGGAAGAGCAACTGATATAATCTACCTGGACTAGTGCAAAGCATTTGACACTGTCCTGCATGACATCATTCTCTCTAAATTGGAGACATATGGATTCAATAGATGGATCACTCAGTGGATGAAGAATAGACTGGATGGTTGCACTTAAGAATTGTGGTCAATGGCTCGATGTTCAAGTGGAAACCAGTGATAACTGGCATTCCTTAGGGGACATTATTGAGACTAGTGCTGTTTGACATTTTTGTCAGTGACAGGGACAGTGGGATTGAGTACACCCTCAGCAAGTCTGCTGATGACACCAAGATGTGTAGTGTGCTTGACACACGGGAGGGAAGGGTTGCCATCCAGAGGGGCCTTGACAGGCTTGAGAGGTGGGTCTGTGCAAATCTCATAAAGTTCAAAAAGGCCAAGTGTAAGATTCTGCACCTGGGCTGGAGCAATCCCAAACACAGTTACAGGCTAGACAGAGAATGGATTGAGAACAGTCCCAAGGAGAAGGACTTGGGGTTGCTGGATGATACGAAGCTTAACATGAGCTGGCAATGTACACTCACAGCCCAGAAGGCCAACCATATCCTGGTCTGCATCAAGAGAAGTGTGGCCAGCAGGTCAAGGGAGGTGATTCTCCCCCTTTACTCAACTCTGTGACACCCCACCTGGAGTACTGTGTCCAGTCCTGGAGCCCCCAGATCAAGAAGGACATGGAGTTCTTGGAGCAAGTCCAGACGATGGCCATGAAGATGATCAGAAGGCTGGAGCATCTCTGCTATGAAGACAGTCTGAGAAAGTTGGGGTTGTTCAGCCTAGAGAAGGTAAGGCTCTGAAAAGTCTTTATAGAGGCCTTCCAGTACCTGAAGGGAGACTACAAGAAAACTGGGGAGCGAGTATTTACAAGGCCGTTTCTTGTTTGACCGAAGTCACGGAGGCAAATGGCACCAGAGCAGAGAATCACACCAGGGGGCCCTTTCTTAGCAGCAAAAAAAACCCCAGCAAGAGCACAAGGGGAGATGGCACCCCAGCCCTTCGCTCTGCCCCCCAACCCGAGCGGGACGAGCTCCTGACAAGCAGCGGCTCCAACTGAGCATGGGTGGGACAAACTTCAGGTAGAGGAGCAGTCCCAGGGAGCAGGAGCGGCCGGAGCACGGGGAGCAGGGCGGGCAAATGGGGCGGCAGCTTGTGCGGGCAGGGCGGGCACAGGGGGTGCGCAGGCAGGGAGGGCTCTCTCCCTCCAAGGGCCGAGCTACGAGCTTCCTTCTGGAGGGCTGAAGGGGGCATGACCTATCAGATAGAGGGGGCATCATGGTGAGCACTCAGAACAGAGGCAAGGTCACACCTATGGCTGGGGGGTCTGCACCATCCACCCCAGTGGTGACCGACGCCTCCAGCAGACAGAGGCAGTGACAAAGGACGTAGCCGCACAAACAACAGACTGTGGGAAATGGTGCAGGGTGCAATCCTGTATGCAAAAGGTGTGCACAGGTTGAGGACCTTCTGCAGCAGGTTGCTGAGCTGCAGGAGGCAGTAAGAAGGCTGGAGATGAGGGAGACAGAAAAGGAGATAATTGGCTCCAGACACGCCAAGGCAAACCCAGAGCCTAAAACTGCAGATACAAAAACTGCCCCATTAACAAAAATAGAAAGAAGTGAATGATGTGGAAAATGATAAAGAGGAACAGAAAACTGTAAAATCAAAACCCCAAAGGAAAAAAAGACTTCCCTCAAAATCTAAAGTGCCCCTGCAGAGCTGTTTCACAGTTCTGCAGACTGAAGGGGAAAAACAACCCAAGCAAGATATGCTCACGCGGCACATCATGTAATGACTGCTCAGAAGCAGCAGCAGTGAGTAATAGCCCCCAACATGAGAAGGACCTGGAGGTCCTGGAGAAAACAGTCCAGAGAAGGGCCATGAAGATGATCCAAGGGCTGGAGCACCTCTCCTACAAAGACAGGCTGAGAGAGTAAGGGTTGTTCAGCCTGGAGAAGAGAAGGCTTTGGGGGGATCTCATAGTAGCCCTCCAGTACCTGAAGGAGCCTACAGGAAAGCTGGGGACAGGGACTTTTTTTAAAAAGGTTTGTAGTGAGAGGACAAGGGGTAATGGAACAAAAGTGGAAGAGGGTATGTTAGCCATTAGGAGGAAGTTCGTTAGTGTGAGGGTGGTGACACCAGCACAGGTTGCTCAGGGAAGTGGTGGAAGCCCCAACCCTGGAAGTGTTCAAGGGCAGGTTGGATGGGGCTCTGAGCAATCTGATCTAGTGGGAGGTGTCTCTGCCCATGCCAGGCAGTTGGAACTAGGTGATCTTTAAGGTTGCTTCCAACCCAAATCATTCTATGTTTTTATGAAATTAGAGTTCACTGAAAAGTTATGAGTGCCAGCAGGGGACCAAAATATCTTGCTCTTAAAAAAAAAAGAGCTGCAGTTATTTGCTTTATAAAAGTTATCCCAGATAGCCTGTTTTCTCTTTTAAGACTAGCAACAAGGCTATCCACAAATAGGGCTGTTTCCAAGTGCATTTTAAAAGGTTAGGAAAGCCCTCACATAAAATCTGTTGTTGCCATCTAATCTAACAGGCCACATGCACTTGGTTCCTATTGAAAGAAGAGCCAGTTTCTAAGTTGCAACTTAGTGTTTTGTCTCTTTAGCTTTCCTCTCAAATGTCTTCTCCCTAACACTGTTCAATGGGGAATTATGCTTTTTGTCAGGTTCAAGGATGCTGAATATATTTGTGACTATTTCAGATGACCACTTAAAAGGTGGGTTGCTCTGCAATACATGTGGCCATGGAGTGCTTTTAAAGGAAGTAAGATGAAGTCAGTATGTGTGCTGGACTCCTTTGTTTCTTGTTAGGGAAATGAGTCCTCCTACAGAGGAGGAGGAACCATTACTTATCCAACTTCAGTCCTCTTCTAGAAACACAGTAGTCCTTACACAAGAGCCAAGTATTCAGGTTTATACAGAATAGTCAGAGCAAAAGGCAGCTGTATGACAAACAAATGACACCTGCTATGGGACAAAAATAATTCAAAATAACTTTATAAATTCTGTCACAGATCTGCTTTGTACATCAGTTCAACCTTGTCCCTCCAGCTTGTTCCTGAAAATTCACAAACCTTGCTTTTTGTTTCATTTTCTCCTGAAAGGCAGACACAAAACCAGCCATCAGTGCATTATTTACAGAAGTGCAACACAGTCTCCCACCCTGAAAAAACTTTTCACTAACAAGATACTCCCAAAGAATGTAAATAAACACCACAGCTTGAGCAGTGTTTCAGAAGTCAGTTTATAAAGGTTAGCTAATTTCTGCAGTCCCTTATGACAGAGCGAGTAAAGCTTCGCTCACCACCGAACAGGCCAAAAAGACAACATTTCAAGTATTAAATCAGAAGTTTCCAAAGACAATCCATATTTTGATAAACAAACACAAGGGAAACAGTATACAGCTTTCAATATGCTGTACATGAAAAGTGGTCTCCAGTTTCAAACTTATAGCAAGAAAAATATGATCAAAGTAACCCTGAAAACTAGCAATATAGGAGTCCCAAACATAAATCACTTCTGTGTTTCCCCTTCAAATCACTCTGCTGGTCTGATGCATTTGATTGTTATTTAGTTCTACATTTGTAGGTAATTTTAAAAAAACCCTCTAAATTCCCATATGGAAACAATTCAAAAGAAGGTTCTGCAAATAAGTCCTATTATAATCTTGCTTCTCCATACTTTATGTTCAATGAGATGCAACTGCAGATCTGTTATTCCACTGGCATAGTGTTTGCAGTCAGAATAAGTTAATTCCAAGTCATGCTGGCTGTGGCTTGCTTTCAGTTTTCTGCTTCATGTGTATCTGCATCATCAGATTTCTTATGTTTCCTCATATGTTTGTATTTTTCCACATATGCCTTCACCAGATTAGCTACCTTCATAGGGTTGATCTCTCCACTTTTGCTGTGGCAGATCTAGAGGGGATTAGAAAAGGCATTTGGTCAATTTACAGTATTACAGCAGTTCAGGCAGGCAACAGACAAATGACAGAGAAGCCCTAAGCTTTCCAGGGAAATTATTCCTGCATAGGCCCTCAAGTCTCATAGCAGGATACATAAATATAAAGCTCAACAAGGAAAAGAGTAGTATTTTACTTCAGGCATTCCAGAAATGGCCCAAGGCTTATCTCCTGACAGCCAACTGAATGAATAAGCATCTCTGAAAGGAAAATTATTCTTTTACTACAGGCTTTTCCACCCAGCCAGTTTTGCACAATAAATGGTAACCAAGGAAGTTTTGATTTCCCATTTTTCTGATGACTTTGAGGAAGTGATGCTGAGATTAAAAGAATCTGGCACTTTTGAGGGCCTGTTTTGAGATAAGGGAGAAAGATAACTTTACAAAGAACTTTATCAGTGTTCAGAGAAGAGTTCACAGTGACTTCATCAGCAATTCGTGTCCCTTAGATCTCCTACAAAACACACTTGAGGTTCATATGGGTCACATGGAGGATATGACATTGTAACCATTATCTCAGAAACTTTGATTTATGATGGAATTTCTCAGTGACAGCAAGAAATCAAAGCAGGGAGAGAATACAGCTCTCCAGGGTGTGATTTAACTGCCTTAATCACAAAAGCATTACTTGCTCTCACAAGACAACATATACCTGCTGATCAGGTCTTTTTTTAGCCACAATCTGGTAAGTACTAAAACTTGAGACAAAAGCCAACATCAATTAATCTGCAAGACCCTCTTCTAAAGTTCAGGGGCACCACAGATGCTCAAGGAATTAATGCACAAAGTATTTTCTCACTTTACCAGAAACAGCTTGGTGATTCTGGCTGAAGTTCTTAATGAGAGAGATCTGACCATTCTCACCCAAGGCATGTACCATGTCACATTTGAGCTCAGGCAGTTTATGCCTAGTAACATTCTGTACAACTGAAAATACAATCTTCTAAAAGGAACAGTCTGACAGCTCTCATCAATGGCACTACCCAGTGCTGCTTAAACTATTGCTATACCACAAGACTGCACAGTATGAGCAAAACATCTGCTACTCAGTAACAGCATGTAATTGCTGCAGCTGGAAGTGCAATCCAAAGTACTGCCACGTATTTTACAATCTGCACAGCTCCTTGTCTTCATTTCACTGTCACCTTACCTTTTGCACTGCTTTTCGAAGAATGTTCTTGTACTCCTCCTTTGTAATCTCCCTCTTCTGGTAAAAAGGTTTAATAGCAAGTTTCACTTCTTCCACAGCCCTTTCCTGCATGTGAAGCTTCTTCATGTACTGCACAGCAAAGAGACGTTCATTAGCCTGTGCTGTCTTGGGAATGGTTTCTGAATCTGCTTTTCTTAGAAATTCTCTAGCAGCGAAAATACTCATTTCATAATTTCAATAATCCAAATAGAAGCTAGCCTCAAAGTGATTTCATTTTCTGTAAATTGAAGTCTTGAAACACACCAGTTCACGCTACGATAAGCCCTTGTTTCATGTAACAATTATTCTATGTTTCAGAGAATGTGTTTTAAGGAAATGTCCACTTATGAATTTGGTCTCACTCCTTCCTTTGTAATAGCTCTGAAGTAAACATACATCCATCCAAATTCATCAGATGCAAAAAGTGATAGCTGCAAACAGCTTCTAAAATTGCAGAGTTGCCAATAAATTAGAGATTACAAATAATAATCTATCAAAACAAGTTAACAAAAACTGCTGTTCATAAATGGAGCTTTGGCAGGAGAAGTATCTTTTTTGTTTTGTGGTAGAAAGGAAAACAATTGGCTAAGAAGTTTCTGTTCTTGTGTTAACATCCACTATGCTTAGAGCAAATAAGTCTGTGCAGCAAACCCAAAATTCAGCAGCAATGGACTAGCACTGCAAAATCTTTAAAGTATTTTACCATGTCTGCATTTTCAGTGCTGATATGCAGCAAGAAACAGTCCTACAACCTAGGACTGTTAACAAAATTGACATTAATTTCAAAGCTGGAGAGGAATGGAGAAACCAGGTGTTTAAATAAATACGGACGTTCTGGCTTCTGGAAAGACCCTTTCCAAATATTCATGCAATTAAGTTTCAGAACTTTAAGAATTTATTTTAGATGCTTTAAACCCTCTCTGTTGTCTTATTGTGATGAAGCAATAGAAAGCCAAACCATCAAATGCAGTAAACCTCAAAAGAATTCAAAGAAAGTACTGCCTGCTGCTCCTGGGTTAGCATAATCAGTCACCAAAACCAACAGTTACAACAGGGGCTGGGAAAATACAGTACCCAAAATTTACAAGTTCCAATAAACAGCTCATGAATGTTATGCATTCGCTGCTTGATAACATTAACTCACTTCCTCATTTTTTATTTTATCCACTGGAGGTTTGGGTGCTTTGATCTTTTCTTCTGTTTTTCCAATGGAAGCAGACTGGATTCCCGGTTCAGATGCAGCAGCCAAGGTGCCCGGCTCTGGAATCAGGCTCTGTCCTGCCATGCAGCCAAGTGCTGGAAGACTACCCTGCATGATAAACTGAACGGTGGGCTGGCTGACAGGGGCACAGGGGGGAAGGCTTGAGGGCAGAGATGGCGTCAAAGGTATATTTTGACAGTACACCTATGAAACAGACAAAATTTTGTAAATGCTTGTACTTACAAGAGAGCATCAGATCGGGATTTGCAGAGCACCTTTTATCCACTCAAACAGGCAAGTAATTACTTGTTTAAACAAGGGAAGCTAACATCTCAGCCCTCAACTAAGGCTCTGCGCGCAAAGAGCTAGCACCAGCCCCACTCACCTTTTAACTGGCGACAGCACAGACTGATGGCACAGATAAATGCCACCAGGCCAAGTTTTACAGCCTGAGCACAATCAGGAAGAAGCTTACTGAAAGTTACTGCTGGAAACCAAAGCTGCATATGTAGAGCAGAATTAAAAGAGAATGTGCTGCTTCAACAGTAAGGATCACCTGAGAGATTTATTAGAGGACTGCTGAGGTGTACAGGCCATATGAAATGTAGCACACACAGAGGTAGGCAAACTCTGCCATGAGAAAAGGGTGTTGTGTGAGATGAGTTGGGATGCCTTCCATGAAACTTGGGTGCCAGAATAGGAACCAACCTGAAAGGAATCTAGATCAGGAAACATAGGCTCAGGAATCATATAATTGGTTGGAGGAGGCTCATTTAACTGCACCTGATTTAATGTTTGGTTCAAGTCCTCTGCTTTCCAGGCCCCTTCTTTTGCTCGCTGAAGTCTGTAAAATGGAATCCCTAGGTTCCCCAAGAGAAAGAAAAGAAAATATTTAAGAACAAAATAAACCTAATGCATCCAAGATTCAAAGCCAATTAGATAAAAAAAAAAGTTTTAAAAAAGGATCTAATAACAAAGCTATCTATTAAAGGATCTTGATTAGCAGTGATCAACATTTTAAAACTTCTGATAATAAAGGACTTACAGCCTTGAGCAGTTGCTTTTTACTGGGTTTCCTAAAAGGTAACCAGTGAGAATAACACAAGCAACTCTGTCAACACACATAGTACTAGGGTGCACAGGCAAACCTTCTAGCAGCTTTGTCTTAGCAGAGCTCACAGAAGCAAGCTACAGAGATTTGTCACACTCCTCGGTTCCAATAAATATTTAAAAACCCTGAAGGCAAAACAACCATTTTAGTTAACTGCAGAAACAGTGGAACACAGGCTGCCAGTTCAGAATCGAGGTTGCAATACATCCTTCCCAGTCGAACAAGCTGCCACTGGCTGCCCGAGCTGAGCACACATCTTTCTCTGATTCAGTAACACAACTCACCACATGATTTCAACAAGTGCAAAATGCCAGCTCTCAGGATTGGAAAAAACAAGATCACACCAGCTCAGATGACAGAGCTGTTATGCTCCAACCAGGTTTAGCCACCAAACCCCTAAGCATTAAACAGCCTGCTTCAACTGCTGCTTTGTTTTCCAAGAGACTTACTTGGACCTTTTCCAGCAGACAATGTACTGCTTTCTTCCTCTTGAAGATTCCAGGTAACTCTTTTCACTGGTGCTTTTGATTTCAACGAAGAACTCTGAGGTACCACTTCCAGTTGAGGCTTAGTGAAATTACCAGGTTTCTCATTTGACACAAGGCACTCATCTTTAACCTCCTTCACACAATCTGTTTGAATTGGTGCAGCCTCAGGCAAAACATGCATGGTAACTTCTTTCTTTGGGGGTGGTTCCATCAGAGATGGACATAATGCAGTATTTTCTATTTTAACTGTAATCTCAAGGTTTGTGTTGCTAGAGCTACCAAGCACTGCTGGATCACTACTGCTCATTAGTTCTATTTCAGCAAAAGAATCCACATTGTCAGTTGGAACACTACTGCTTGCGATCTCTGGCAGAGGGAATGCGGTTTCACTGGCCACTTCCTGATAGAGGGGCTCTACCTTTACAGTTTCTTGGGCCTCTCGAAGTTGAACCAGGGTCTCATGCTGTGTTTCCTGAAGTTTGACATCTGGCTGGATGGTTATGGAAAGCTCTTCTAGTACTAGCTCCTCCTTTGGCTCTTGTTTGAAGGAATGGGGTTGCCCCAGAAACCTGGACACATTTTCAAGTGGAGGCTTTTGATCCTTTATTATGGGAGGAGAAGGTGAGGTCTCTTTTGTCCTGTGTTTTCTTTCTTTAGAACAGGATCTTGATCTTGGCCTTTTTTCCTTTGATTTGCTACTTTTGTGTTCCCGAGATCGAGATGCAGATCGAGATCGAGACCTCCGCTTTCTCCTCTCCCGAGACCTGGATCTTGATCTCGTTCTGTCCCTTGACCTCAAGCTATCATACCTCTTATAGCTTTTGTCTCTCCTGTGTTTCTGTCTGCTAGTCCTCTCAGTGCTATTTGATCGGGAATGATCCCTTCGTCTTGATCTTGATCGAGACAGTCTTTTCTTTTTCCTATTTTCATAAAACTCAGAAGTACTTAAAGGACTTAAAGAATGTGACCTAGATTTCCTTCTCTCCCTAGACCGAGAAGTTTTTGCCTTTTTATACTTGGTTTTATCTTTAATTTTATTTTTTTTAGCTTGTTCATGACTGCTACAACCATCACTAGAAGACATCTTGCTTTTGGCTTTCATTGTATGTGTTTTACTATACTCTTCTCCACCTGACCAGGAGGTAGATCTTGAGCTTCGGTCCCTTGAGTGTGCTCTATCCGAAGACCCTGATCGGCATTTCTTATGCTCTTTGACAAGTGCCTTTTTCTTTTTCATCTTCTTCTTACTTTGGGAGCTGGAGTCTGAATAGGATCTAGAACGTGATCGCCTCTCTGTTTGTTCTGCCTTTTGGATTTTCTGCTGCCTATCATGCTTTGAGGGACTACCTGCTTCTAGTTTCACATTAATATTAGGTCTCATAAATTCTTCAGCATTAAAGAACACATTAGGGCCCTCTTTGCCTTCCTCCTTTAAACACTCTGCATTAAAAATCTGCTTAACAGCGGATGAAGCACAAGGACTGCTTGTAAAGTCTTCCTCATTCATATTGTCTCGTTCCTCTTTATCAGAGATCTGTTCTACAATCCTGCTTTCTACTGTCACATCATCACGAGACTCTGTGTTACTAGATGGTAAGTCAGAGTCAGCCCCAGATCCAAATATATTTTCTACCATGTAAGGTGTGAAACGACGGACAGTTTGAAATGTTTGTACTTTTGGATTTTCAATAGAAATAGTCCTGGTAATATTAGTTAGCGGGATCCCCACACCAAGCCTTTCAGGACTGCTGCTTGCTGAACTCGAATCCGATCCTGTTGGCTCAAAGGGATCATATATTTCACTTTTGACCCGCTTTTTCTTAACTGAGAAAAGAGGTGAAGGACTCTCTTTCTGTTGCACTTTGTCATCCACAGGGCAGAAGGTGTTACAAAAACCTGGGTTAGACAGTCTGCTGGGATGCCCTGTGTTTCCAGGAATATTGATTTTAAAACTCTCAAAAGAGCTTGAGCCTTTGTTCCTTGAAGTGCCCGGTAGTGATGAACTGCTAGACGTGTCTGTTTTGGTAGAAAAAGACACCTCACTTGTACGAGTTTGTTGCTGAGACTCCTTGGCATTTGACTTCTGACTTTCCACCTTGCTACCCTTTCCTGGCTGACGAGTGCTCTCTTTGCCAGTCAGCTGGGTTATACAGGAGCTGGGGATGTCACAGCTTTGGCTTCCTGTGGGTTCTGCCTCCACCTGCTTGCTGCTAGTTTCCTTTTTAATCTTTGGTATCCTGGGAAGCTCAAAGATGTCAATTCTCTTGGGGGGTGGTTTTAATGGCTGCCTCACAGTTACAGCTTTTGAGACAGAATTCAAATTACAGCTCAGTGGCTTTGAAGATAAGTCAGAGAGTGCAATTTTTTTAGAGTTTCCATTAAACCTGGGCATTTCATCTAACTTGGAGCCATGCCTCCTCAGAGTAGTTATACTCTGAGTCTGAACAGACCTGGGTGTCATTGAATACTGTGATTTTGCAGTTGCCTTTTCTGATGTAGTCTGTGCAGGGTTTACTGCAGGGTTAATCCTACTAAGTGAGGGTGAAGGTGATGAAAACAAGCTTGAGGAGGAGGGTCTGGTGACAGTATTTGGCCCCAAGGAAAATGAAGGTCCAGCAGTGGAGTTGCTTCCTGTGGTCCCTGAGTGCATTGTACTTGGTTGTGTGTTACGTCCTGAACCATCATCCACTCTCGAGTCATCCGCTGATTTTCTGTGAAGTGGAGCTATGGCATATAAGCAAACAAAATTTTTCAGTACATATCTGGATATTGTCTCCCAACATTAAGAGAAAAACCTAGGTAATTTTTTTAAGTTCCACTTAGGTTCGTGGACATACCACACAGTAACAAGGCAGTCCTTTTGGTCACGTCATCAAGGTTTAATGCCAGACAGATGCATCTTTGAGGTAAACACTAATATTTAAGAAATAAATTACTCTGTTCTGTAGACATCACCAGATTCATGTTTATTACCCTGTAGTCACTGATAAAAAGGACTGTAACATAGGACGTTACAGGTACTTATTTTAAGAAAAAAGCTCTAAGTTTCAATTTGACAATATTATTTCCCAATAATACCATGCCAAGGGAAGACACAGCTAAATATGCCAACGCATACTTTAGAGCTCTGCTTTTGCAAGGAAACTTCTTGTCAAGGTGCCCATGACAGCTCTTCCAACTCAAGTACAGTTCACAGGCATGGCACCAATGCATGACAAATGCCATAAGAACTGGGTACTAAGATATCTCTGCTCTATGTAGTCCTCATTTTATTTTTTTTTTAAACAAAGCATGAAACTACAGTGAAACTTTTTTGAAACAAGAAAACCAGCTATTAGACCAAAATCCTTCAGTAACATCTCAGCTCTGCAATTAAAACAGACACAAGTAACACTATTTCAGTACATACATAAGAATTTCATTAGGCAGACTATCAAATCTATCCTACACATTCAAACGTGCAGTAAGAGTATCCCTATGTTTTAAGTTATGCAGCCTGTAGGACTGGGCAGACATGGATGAAACAAAGAAACTAACTGCACTATGAAGTGCTGAACCCTTACCTGCTTTCTTTGCCGTCAGTGAACCATCTCTGTTGATGATCACATCTGAACTACTCATCATGAGAAAGCTCTGTCCAGACAGGATACTTCCCAGCAGATCTGGCACAGGGGCAGCTTCTACTTCTTGATCAAGATTCAAGGCAGGTACACTGCTTCTGCATGTTTCAGAAGGGGTATATTTCCTTTACTCTTACAGCACTTGTTCTACACACACATTACATTACATTAAAAAGAAACCAAAATCAAGGGCATAAACAGAAGTCAGCCAGGGAAGTTCATTTGTAGTTTTGGCTTCATTAACAGTCATTCAGTCCCCATCTCCCTCTGACAAACAGAAGCTAAAGCTTTTACTGACTTTCCACAGGAACACCACAGGATAGAAAAGCATGTAATCATACCAGAGACCTTCAGTAAGCAACTTCTTTTAATCTTATTTATGAATGGCGCTCACTGTGTTCTCTATCAAGATGAACTTTCTAGCGTATTTAAGATGCATTTTTGAAGCATAAAGCATTGTTCAGCACTTCAGAGATACTTCCATCCCAGCTGCCACTCCTCCCTCACCAAATCACAATCACAAATCTATTCCTGAGGCCTACACTATCTAAAAAGATTGATGCAGCCTGAATGAGCATTTTGCATCAGCCAGAATACACAGAGGTGCCTACTGATATGGTAGCAAGAGCATGGCATAGGAGGAATTACACAGAAAAACAACAGCAATGTCCCACACACAGGACAACACAAACACTCCCCTTTATGCATTACTCAGCCTTAGGAAAATGGTTTAAAAACAAGTTCTCTGTTCTTGAATACAGACTGGAAATGTTTGAGTCTTTTTGGTGTTGGTGAGTAGCTTTTTTTTTTTTTTTGCTTTTGTGTTGGTGAGATTTTGGGGTTTGTTTTGTTTAGGTTTTTAAACATCAAAAAAGGGACCAATAGACTCAGCTCTTTGAAGGAGCTACATGTCATTTCTGTATGACAACAAGGAAACTCTCCAAACATAAAACATACCAAAAACCTGTAATACAACAGAAAGACATAATGGGAAGGCTAAAAAAAATTGGCTTCCCAGGTCAGATGAGGAAACTTACTGTAGCACAGGCAAATAAAGACTTTACAAAAGGTACATTTCAGCTAAACAGTTCTGCCTTCTAAAAAATGTTCTACTCAAATAACTCTGATGATATGGAAAGCTTCCTGAAAGGCTTCCTTCAGGATTGAGATAAGACAGCTACAGAAATATTCCAAGTTATTATAGAAATATAATATTTTAATCCTAGAAACCAACATTTGCCACGGCTCAGATGCACTAGAGGGCAGTCACGTAAACCTCTCCCAACTTTAATATGAGCTCCCCCCAATTCTCCTTGTTCTTCAGTTCCCTCAGCCTTGTAGTTCTCTGTGACCCTGCTGGACTTGCCTTAGTCATTTTCCCTATCCCATTTCTTCTAATCATGCTCATGCTCCTTGTGTTCTACCCCTCTCTACTGTGTCCTACACCCCAGTCCTGAAAACCCACTGTGGTTGCCAGCGGGAGGCACCCAGCAATGGTCCCTGGCCCTAGCAGACACGGGCACACAATGTGCGCACACACACACTCATCTGTCAGACAGCAAAGCAATTGTTATATTGCAGGATAAAACAAAGTTTTCTCCCAATTTTCTGAGCTCCAACAAATGGCAGAGGATCTGAGTGAGGTGGGGACATCCTCTGGATGTGCAGTTAGATTCCAGGGATCTCTCAAATAAGAAGCAGTTTTTTAAAAGTTTAATGAGACTGGGATTTAAAACACATTAATGAGGTTACAAACAATCCCAAAACAGAAAGTAGGAAGAGCCAGATCAGGGTGGAAATACCAATTTGAAATTTTAGTGCAACAGTTAGAGCTTTATGAAATAATGTGTGTGCTCATCAATATAAAAAAATTATTGCATAATATGCTGTGGTTATTAATCTACACAAGCACAGGCATGCACACACACACACACGTTCAAAATACTGAGGGTCAGAAAAGACTTAAACCAGGGTGGTCACCAGTTCGCTCTTTTGTTAGAGTGATTAGACAATCAATAAAAATAAAATAAATAAATTGATGGATTTTTACCTGGGAAGTCCCACAGAAACAGGTCTAGCTACAGGACAGTGAGACCTTAGTGCTGACTGGGAGAGAACTCTCCTTTTGGTGCTCACTGGTGAATCTAGATTTGCTGGAACCTCTTCATTACTGTGGGTAAAACACACACACGAACCCTGAAATTGTATGAATGTCCTTCATGTCAAATAGATGAAGTGGATAATACTACTAGGACAGATATGGTTAAAACACATAATTTGTTTTATTATGATACATCAAAGATTTGTGCAATATACTTATTTTCTGGTACTACATAAATAGAACAGGGTAACTTAGCTAGCAGAGATTTATATGTAGAGTTTTTAAATATTAAAAGGGCAATTTCATTTTATGAAATTACCAAAAAGACATTCTGTGGAAAATTAAATTTAATCAACAATTATGTTTTAATGAACTCTCCCCAAAATCTGAAGCTTAAGAGTGAAACAAATTATGGCAGGGGAGAGGCCCCAGGCGTGGCTCCTCTAAGTAGCTACTAAAAGCTCCTGCATTCAGGTGGCCAAGGCTGGGTCGGTAGAAAAACAATAGATGCATGAAATTATCAGGTCTCTGATCATAACATCACAATCTTACCTTTCATAAGGATCCAACTCATATGGATCGCCAAACACAGACAGAGAAGCTGCACCAATATCTGATCTCATCAGGCCAAGTGAGGGCTCTGCTGGTTTGTAGATGGAAGGAAGTGAGGCCCCACGCAGAGGTTTACCAAGACCAAGCGTTCTTGCAATACGGGAACGAGCAGTAACCTCATTTTTCACCTGAGCAGATAGAGATTGGGTTGGCTGGTTGTCAGGGCATGCATGTACCCTGGATCTAAAGTCCCAAATTCTTCTCTAAGGCTAAGTACAGTCATCAGGTTACTACTATCAAAAGCAGACACAATGTGCATCAATTGTCTATATTTAAGGTATTTATTAAACTTCTAGCTATGGCCTACATGTCACTTCATACAGAGGCTACATATATCAGATTCAAGAGATCAGATACATTTCTAAAAATCTTTAATGTAATTCTAAATTGTCAATTCATTATTAAAAGCAAGAGTGACAGTTCTGGCTGTGGAATGTAAACTCTAGTTAAGGTAGCTGAGGACCAAAGTCAAGCTGGTGCACAGTATTCAGTATAGTTCACAGGAGAACACTATCCATAACTGAAAAGGATTTTGAGAGCCCTTATGGCTGATTAACTAGGTTTGCAACAACACAGACACAAACATCCACAGCCTATTAGAAGGAATAGGTGGTGGCAATTTTAAATGAGCTTGCATCAATACCGAGTAAACACTGCAGCTAAATGGCAAGGCATTACACAAAGTCTGCGGGAAATGCTTTACAGTGTCATCCCTGCAGTTCAGGCAAAGGGATTTGTAAGCAAACCCAGCAGGCATGCCTGGAAGTTGCCATTTGTTGCCACATACAGCATCTTTCTGGAGTATATGGGACACATCCTGCACATACTCCCACCAGAAAAAAAGTTATGTGATATTGTTATAAGACTATTTTTTTCCCATTGAATCCCATGTTACAACGCTTTTACAGATGGCTGAAACATGTCAGATACTGACACACTGGCAGAAACTCACATGTGATCTTACTCTCCTCTTTTTCCCCCTTTTCTTCTTTATCAGACACTTGCGTCTCTTCAGCTGTGTCCCTGAACTTTTCTTTCCAGAAGATGATTTTGCTGGAGTTCTTTTTTTGCCTCCTACTTTCTTCCTCCTACCTGATGGGACAAAAACACAACCAGGTATCTGGCTAAGCATGCAACGCATTTTACCCTGTACTCCCCTTTTCACTCCGCTCTCCCTCCAAGAGACCTACATGTACTGCAACAGTACAAAACAGCTGAGTAAAAAAAAGTGAAAACATTAGGATTTATTTAAAAGTACTTCTGGGCACTTCTGGGCCCAGACACTTCTGGGCAGAAGTAGTAAGGGGAAAGAAGAATATGCATGTGGTATACTTCTGTAGCTGCACAACTGTGGCAGCATACAGGTGATCTGGAGTATTTTATGTAATTCAGGTTTATTTTCCCAAAACTTTTATTCTTGCAGAAGGGAACCACAGAAGGTGTCTCCTGCTCTTACCTTTTTTTTTCTGCCTTGTAGGAGCCCGTGGTGTAAAAGGACGCTGGTACACGGCTGTGTTTAGGCCTGCTACAACTGCCTCAATTGTTTCATCCAGAAGCGAGGACATGAAGTACCTTGGCACATGCTATGTGGGGAATTAGAAGTTACACAATACACATATATAAAGGTCAGCAACAAGTTAGTTATAAAAGCCTTTGATGAAAAATGGATTTGCGATTTGAAAAAGTAACACTCGTCACCAAGCTGCCAGTAAAGCAATTATGCCACCTTTCTCACCTATTGGCTGTAATACTGAGGAGAACATGACCTTGCTCTTCAGCCTCCCTCAGTATTGTAAGTCATGGATAGCCTAACTCAGACTCTAAAGGAGAACAATCCCGAAGACTGACATTTCCTCAATTAAACAGGTCACTTAAGAACTTTTCCAAATCCACCTAACTGATCTCTGGGCTCACCACGAAGCAAAAAGCAATGAGAAAAGACTGAAAACTCTACATAGTACAGGTCCCACACTTTAAACTCCTCATTCTTTAGGTCAGATCTACCTAATCTTGTGAAACGTGTCCAAAGGCAGCTTTCAAACACACACATCAGAGAACTCATCTAAATGGCAGGCATGATTCCCCCTTGAGAGCATCACTTCAACGCAATAATCATGGGCTGCTTCTACAAGGTTCACATTAGCCTTCCTCTATATATTTAAGGGTCAACCACACTTAAAAGAAACAAATTTGAAGCATATGGGTTCTGAACCACTAGCCTCAGAATGTGAACTCAAAGCCTCCTCGCAAGGAAAACACAGCATAGGCCTGTTCCTTCCTGTGGTTGGAAAGACATTAAGAGCAGGCTTCACTGAACAGCTGAAGTTGGCCACGTCCACACCAACCATACTTCTAAAATGTCATAGAATCACAGTATGGTTTAGGTTGGAAAGGACCTCTAAAAATCAACTAGTCCAACCCCCCTGCCATCTTCCCTACCCCTTCTTCTTTCCTCAAGCAACTCAATGCATCAAGAACTGATAGAGTTTTGTATGAGCATAGCAGATGTGAAGATGCCATGTGATGGTACAATTATTCCCTATACTTTCTGCTAAAGCATATGCATCAGATCCTTGTACATTTACAAAATGCACATGTGGCACAAACACTAGAGAAGAATGACTTTAGAGTACCCTTCAGTGGCAAATAAGCTTAAATCTGCAATATGCTTGAAAATAGGATACTCCAACAGAAATATATGCTTCACTTCATCTTACTATGAAAGTAATTTCACCAGGCTTCTCTGTTAGCTTCCAAACTATTTTGCTGAGATATTTTTATTAGAATGCCATTGTTTAAAGTATCATGGGTACCTATAAATACTCCATAAGGTTCTCTGATTTGGAGAACAGGATGGAGTAAGGAAAGCCCTGAACATTATCTTAAACATTTACTTTTCTCAAAGGACTTAAAATAGTGCATTTAGTTAATCACCACCACTAGTTTAGGCACCTATGGAACAACAGATGTATTACAAAACAAACTGTCTCCCCGAGTAATAAAGCTTTCTGGGGATCTGAAATCAGCATCTCTCTATGCTTTGAGGACAACTCCTTAACCAATTGAATGAAGCTTCAGTCAACTCAAGGTATGAGCCAGAATAAAATGCACTTTGAGTCAAAGACAAAGGGAATAAATAAGTAATAGTGCCTTTCTAGGTATAGTGTGTAATGACCTCTGCAGATTGAGAAGTGGAGGTAGCTTCCTGAATGGGAAGCACTGGGCTCCCAGGCTTGCACTACTATGCAGCAGTGAAGTCCCCAGCCACCACATCTCTCATCTACACACTATTTCTAAAATAACAGGTAGGGAAATAAAGAAAAACACAGCCTTTCACCTCAAAACATACTCTTTTACAGTTACTTTTTCCCACATACAGGCCTGACAACTTAAGATGTCATTGCATAGCAGCAATGTATCAAATAATTCATCAAGCTTTTTGATTTTATTAATTATTTTAAAGTTGAAATTAAAAAGGCCTGGGTTTGGAGACAGTGGTTGGCAGCCAAGTAAGATGACCTTCAGCATGGAGGACATAATGAATTTAAGGACTGCTAAAGCACTATAGGAAGGCCTTTAAACAGGAAAAAAACATGATAAAAACTCCATGCAAGCTAGATCTTTTTTCATGGCACCTATTTCAAACTCTACTTACAGCTGTAATTCAGATAATTTGGGATGTGCTATAAATTTCTCCCCTTGCTTCTTCTCCTCACTTACAATGATTTTGATAAGAAACTTAAAATGTAAATTCTGGGGAGCTAATTAGCAGACCTTCTTCCCAATCAGAAGGAAGGTTAATATAATGGAAAACCTCCACTTTTCCCCCCAGATTTAGGCATTTTGTTTTGTTTCCCTTAAGCTTGTATTTACCTTTATTTGCCTGAAGTTACAGAACATAAAAGTATAGCTCATGGAAGATGAAGCACTTCAAAATCTCAAGTGCATTTCCTTTCTTTCTCACCTGACCTTTACAACTGGGTTACAAGGGAAAACTTAATCTGCCTGATCTCCTATCTACAGTTCAGTCTTTTCCCAGTCTGCATTTCACACTCCAAGGAGACCCTTTATAGCAGACTCAACCTGAAATCCACAGCCAACTAACTTGAAGAAATACTTCATTTTATCCAGACTTTCCTTCTCCCTCTTTTCTATATTTTCCTATCTTTGAAAAAAACCCTGACTTAACAAAATCAAAACCAAAAAGGTTTGTTATTGTCAGATGATACCAAATTTATTTTCATAGAATCACAGAACAATTCAGGTCAGACATGACCTTGGGGTAACCCTCAGAAGGGTGTGACTTCTGTTTGCTGGTCAACACTGCATTCAAACCAGGTTGGTTAGACCTTACTTCAGGTGGGTGTTGGAAGCCACCAAAGACAGAGATTTCAAAAAACATCCCAACAACCTATTTGCATGGTTGACCACCCCCAGAGGAAAAATTATTTTCTTTACATCAAATCAAATCCTTCTCTTCCTTTCAAAAGTTGTAGAATGTTTCACATATTTCTACTGAAATCAACAGCAGCATTAATGAAAAACAAATCAACATATCACTAGTCCTACACAATTTATTTACAGGCTCTGCTTCCATACTAAAATCACCATATCCTCCAGTACAATTTAAGGTTTTTATATTTATGCAAGTAACAGGTAGACTGCTTTGGCTAAAGCCAGAGGGCAAAGCAAGCAGGATACACTCAAATTTGAAAGTTCTTAGTTTGCAGGATAATAATTGTTATCTAAAGGATCATAATTATTCCAACCAACAGAAACATGCCACAGCATCCCAACTGCAGTCATCTTCATTTCAAGGATTTGGGGGCCCCTGTGTGTTTGGGAGACTTTCTTGCATAGATTCTATGGTACCTGTTAACATGGTTGAACTCACATTGCCACATCACTGAGGACATTAGAATCTGTTTTTTTCTCTTTGGTAAGAGGGTGATTTTCACAAATACAGAAACTTTAAAAATTCTAAATTTTTCTCTTCAATTTGGCTGAAGGTGGCCAACAGGTTCTAGTGCTATGGGAAGGGGTGCAGGAGGGCAAACAAGCAAATACACAGAAGCAAACCAAACATGCCTTGTCTCTGCAAAAAAAAGCATACTAAAAAAACAGGTGGTGCACAAACAGCCACTGGGAATAAACACATAATTTTGCTAACTGCCAAGGTGATAAAAATGCAGATTCAGCAGAAAGCTATTGCAGACTGCAAAACTGAGAGTCATGGTTGTATGCCGCACTCAATTTGCACATGTTCTACATCTCAATTTGAAATAACTCCATAACTACTAACTATTGTGCTATGGTCAGTCAACTGAGACAGCTGAGCTACCTAAGAGGGGACTTATTTCAGCTCTTCCACAAGGTCCTTCCAGAAGTTCATTAGCATGTACCTGAATTTGTTGAGCTGTTGTTATCCGGTTTCTGTTCACTGTTGCCCTAACTCGTTCGCTCTGCCGAGTTCTGGCTATAGCTCGAGTTCGGACATGAGGGCGTAGCCTACTGGTGGTAGGAATAACATCAGCCACGGGGGCTTCTTCACTGACATGATGCGTATCTTGAAAGAAAAGATGCCCAGGTCACTTGTCTTTCTATAGGTGAAAGCATTTCAAGAACTTTGGACAAAAAAAATCACCAGATAAGTATTCCCTTCCTTAAACCAATCAGATCCTTTTATCAGTTAAGAGTTCAAGTCAACTCTAAGTTCAAGAGAGAATGCCTATCAAAACAGATACTTAGATAAAAACTGAAGTTAAACATCTTTTCAAAACACCACATGCTTCTCATAATCTAAGTCAGGCGAAAAATACTTACTTTGCATACCACAAAACCTTACCTGCAGCAGTACTGACACCCGTGGGGGCACAGGCTGGACAGAACCATTCATCTACAGGGACTTCACTCAGAGGTGGATTAAGGCATTCCATATGATATCTTAAGTAAAAAAATAATTTAAAAAAATCAAACAACATGCTCCTTATCAAGGGAAGAGAGCATGCTACATAAGGCAAACACATTTTCTGAAGCCTGAAACTATGGTTCATGCATCTGCTACCAATCTTGAGAAACAATGCAACCTGAGTTATATTAGGGTCAATGCTACATGATATTTTGATCACTTTAGGCTCAAAAAAGCTCAGAAAAGTGAGAGTTTTTCCCTTTCCGTGTGGTGTATCATTTGCCATTTGAACTCAAGCTGCAAGAAATGTGGAGAGCCAAAACTGATGAGTAACAAAGAGGAAGAAGCAGTGAGATGCTGGGGAGATAGGCAATCAGGAAACATCATCTTTCCTGCAAACCAACATAATATTAACATTACTGGTACTTACAAACATTTCACTTTGCATGACTAGACACAGGTCAACTGCAATGCCTTGTTACACTGAATACGCACATTTCATCTCAGATATGATTAAGAGAACTGGTGACAAGGATTTGTGCCTAACTGCACAAACTAGGTTGCAGAGCACTGGTCAGTCACTGGCTTCATCCAGCTGCTTGCAGGACTAGAGGCTACCCACACTGGCTTCCAAACACCATCTGACTGAGAACCATGCTTGTCCTTATCAGATCTCAAGGGAAAGAAGAGAGGATGATGCTCCCCTAGGTAGGCCTTTTGAAATGTTCTCTACCCAGCAGGTGGAGCAGCTAGACTCAACAGTCTCACCATCCAGGTACAGAGATGCTACTCAGGAGAGCCCTTCAATAATACCTAACCTGAGCTTTGTAAAATTTCCCACTTTCAGCAACTAAAACTCAGCCAAAGAGGCATATCTTAGTAGCACTGAATTTTTGAAGCAACTCATGTTCAAGTTACACTGCTTAAGAGAATTAAAACAGACTAAGTAAATGAAAACCAACTGCTTAGACCAAGTTCTTTGAGCTTCAAATGAGCAGCATTTCTAGGACTAACTTTGTTCTTTATCTAAAAGGGGAAATCCTATTGTTATTTCTCATTTAGTACAGTGTTTAACTCTTAAATAAGAAAAAAGTGAAGCTCTCTGTTTTAACTTCCCATGCCAAAATTCTCGGGTTGGTAATGCATCTCCGTGCCTGGCCACAAAGTAAGGGAAGGGAAGGAACATCCATCCATCTCATGCTTTAATCTCATTTTATAGCACTACAAAAAAAACCAAACACCTACCACAGAGAAACTACAACTGTTAATCCACCTTCCATCACTTCAACTTCTGATTGTGTCTTTCAAACCTGTTTCCAAGCATGCTGCTATAAACTCAATTTACAGTTACTGTCAAAATGATACTATGTTTATACTAAATTATGTTAATTATTAATACAAAATGGAATATCATGTCCTTCTTGCATGATCAGTACACATTAGAGGATGAGGTCTCTTTCAGAGACTTATGAAGATGAAGTTGAAAAATGATGTTTGCAATAAATCATAGAATCATAGAATCTTAGGGGCTGGAAGGGACCTCGAGAGATCATCTAGTCCAACCCCCCTGCCAGAGCAGGGTCACCTAGAGTACATCACACAGGAACTCATCCAGGTGGGTTTTGAATGTCTCCAGTGAGGGAGACTCCACAACCTCCCTGGGCAGTCTGTTCCAGTGCTCTGTCACTCTCACAGTAAAAAAATTTTTTCGGATATTCACCTTGAACCTCCTATGCTCCAATTTACACCCATTACCCCTTGTCCTATCACTGGTCATCACCGAGAAAAGCCTAACTCCGTCCCCCTGACACTCACCCCTTACATATTTGTAAACATTGATGAGGTCACCCCTCAGTCTCCTTTTCTCCAAGCTAAAGAGACCCAGCTCCCTCAGCCTTTCCTCATAAGGGAGATGTTCCACTCCCCTAATCATCTTCGTAGCTCTGCGCTGGACTCTTTCGAGCAGTTCCCTGTCCTTTTTGAACTGAGGGGCCCAGAACTGGACACAATACTCCAGATGTGGCCTCACCAATGCAGAATAGAGGGGGAGGAGAACCTCTCTTGACCTACTAACCACACCCTTTCTAATGCACCCCAGGATGCCATTGGCCTTCTTGGCCACAAGGGCACATTGCTGGCTCATGGTCATCCTCCTGTCTACCAGGACCCCCAGGTCTCTTTCACCTACACTACTCTCCAGCAGTTCAGCCCCCAACCTGTACTGGGACATGGTGTTGTTCTTCCCCAAATGTAAAACTCTGCACTTCCCCTTGTTGAATTTCATCATGTTTCTCCCCGCCCAACTCTCCAACCTATCTAAGTCTCTCTGAATGGCAGCACAGCCTTCTGGTGTGTCAGCCACTCCTCCCAGCTTAGTGTCATCAGCAAACTTGCTGAGGGTACATTCTATACCCTCATCCAGGTCGTTGATGAAGATGTTGAACAACACCGGTCCCAGCACCGACCCTTGTGGGACTCCACTAGTAACACACCTCCAACCAGATTCTACCCCATTGACTACAACTCTCTGACTCCTTCCTTTCAACCAGTTCCTAATCCACCTCACTTCCTGGTCACCAAACCCATACCTGATCAACTTATCCACAAGGATGCTGTGGGAGACGGTGTCAAATGCTTTACTGAAATCAAGATAAACCACATCTACCGCTCTACCATCATCTATCCACCTAGTAATTTCCTCATAGAAGGCTATGAGGTTAGTCAAACATGATTTACCCTTGATAAAACCATGCTGACTGCTCTTGATGACCCCCATGTCCTTGATGTGCCTGGAGATAGTCACAAGAACAAGTTGTTCCATCACCTTTCCAGGGATGGAGGTGAGGCTGACCGGTCTATAGTTACCCGGGTCCTCCTTCTTGCCCTTCTTGTAGACTGGAGTGACATTTGCTATCCTCCAGTCCTCAGGCACCTCACCTGTTGCCCATGATTTACTGAAGATGATGGAGAGTGGCCTAGCAATGACCTCCGCCAGCTCCCTCAGCACCCTTGGGTGCATTCCATCTGGACCCATTGATTTATGGATGTCCAGATTACTCAACTGATCCCTAACCCAATCCTCATCTACCATGTCAAACTCTTCCTCTATCTTGACTTCTTCTGGGGCTATATGAATCTGGGGCTCATAGGGAGACCCTGCAGGAGTGAAGACAGAGGCAAAGAAGGCATTCAGCACCTCTGCCTTCTTTATATCCTCTGTCACCAGGGCTCCCACCTCATTCCTCAATGGGCCAATATTGCCTCTATTGCTAGTTTTGCTAGCTATGTACTTGAAAAAGCCCTTTCTATTATCCTTAACCTGACTTGCAAGGTTAAGTTCCAAGGAGGCCTTAGCTTTCCTAATTGCCTCCCTACATCCTCTGACAACAGTCCTATATTCCTCCCAAGTGACCAGCCCCTCCTTCCATGATCTATAGATTTTCCTTTTCCACTTAAGTTTGCCCAGTAGTTCCTTCTTTAACCATGCAGGTCTCCTAGCACCCTTACTAGATTTCCTAACCATTGGGACACTCTGATCCTGTGCTTGCAAGAAGTGGTCCTTGAATGTTGACCAGCAATTTAAAAAAATCAAACAACATGCTCCTTATCAAGGGAAGAGAGCATGCTACATAAGGCAAACACATTTTCTGAAGCCTGAAACTATGGTTCATGCATCTGCTACCAATCTTGAGAAACAATGCAACCTGAGTTATATTAGGGTCAATGCTACATGATATTTTGATCACTTTAGGCTCAAAAAAGCTCAGAAAAGTGAGAGTTTTTCCCTTTCCGTGTGGTGTATCATTTGCCATTTGAACTCAAGCTGCAAGAAATGTGGAGAGCCAAAACTGATGAGTAACAAAGAGGAAGAAGCAGTGAGATGCTGGGGAGATAGGCAATCAGGAAACATCATCTTTCCTGCAAACCAACATAATATTAACATTACTGGTACTTACAAACATTTCACTTTGCATGACTAGACACAGGTCAACTGCAATGCCTTGTTACACTGAATACGCACATTTCATCTCAGATATGATTAAGAGAACTGGTGACAAGGATTTGTGCCTAACTGCACAAACTAGGTTGCAGAGCACTGGTCAGTCACTGGCTTCATCCAGCTGCTTGCAGGACTAGAGGCTACCCACACTGGCTTCCAAACACCATCTGACTGAGAACCATGCTTGTCCTTATCAGATCTCAAGGGAAAGAAGAGAGGATGATGCTCCCCTAGGTAGGCCTTTTGAAATGTTCTCTACCCAGCAGGTGGAGCAGCTAGACTCAACAGTCTCACCATCCAGGTACAGAGATGCTACTCAGGAGAGCCTTTCAATAATACCTAACCTGAGCTTTGTAAAATTTCCCACTTTCAGCAACTAAAACTCAGCCAAAGAGGCATATCTTAGTAGCACTGAATTTTTGAAGCAACTCATGTTCAAGTTACACTGCTTAAGAGAATTAAAACAGACTAAGTAAATGAAAACCAACTGCTTAGACCAAGTTCTTTGAGCTTCAAATGAGCAGCATTTCTAGGACTAACTTTGTTCTTTATCTAAAAGGGGAAATCCTATTGTTATTTCTCATTTAGTACAGTGTTTAACTCTTAAATAAGAAAAAAGTGAAGCTCTCTGTTTTAACTTCCCATGCCAAAATTCTCGGGTTGGTAATGCATCTCCGTGCCTGGCCACAAAGTAAGGGAAGGGAAGGAACATCCATCCATCTCATGCTTTAATCTCATTTTATAGCACTACAAAAAAAACCAAACACCTACCACAGAGAAACTACAACTGTTAATCCACCTTCCATCACTTCAACTTCTGATTGTGTCTTTCAAACCTGTTTCCAAGCATGCTGCTATAAACTCAATTTACAGTTACTGTCAAAATGATACTATGTTTATACTAAATTATGTTAATTATTAATACAAAATGGAATATCATGTCCTTCTTGCATGATCAGTACACATTAGAGGATGAGGTCTCTTTCAGAGACTTATGAAGATGAAGTTGAAAAATGATGTTTGCAATAAATCATAGAATCATAGAATCTTAGGGGCTGGAAGGGACCTCGAGAGATCATCTAGTCCAACCCCCCTGCCAGAGCAGGGTCACCTAGAGTACATCACACAGGAACTCATCCAGGTGGGTTTTGAATGTCTCCAGTGAGGGAGACTCCACAACCTCCCTGGGCAGTCTGTTCCAGGGCTCTGTCACTCTTACAGTAAAAAAATTTTTTCGGATATTCACCTTGAACCTCCTATGCTCCAATTTACACCCATTACCCCTTGTCCTATCACTGGTCATCACTGAGAAAAGCCTAACTCCATCCCCCTGACACTCACCCCTTACATATTTGTAAACATTGATGAGGTCACCCCTCAGTCTCCTTTTCTCCAAGCTAAAGAGACCCAGCTCCCTCAGCCTTTCCTCATAAGGGAGATGTTCCACTCCCCTAATCATCTTCGTAGCTCTGCGCTGGACTCTCTCGAGCAGTTCCCTGTCCTTTTTGAACTGAGGGGCCCAGAACTGGACACAATACTCCAGATGTGGCCTCACCAATGCAGAATAGAGGGGGAGGAGAACCTCTCTTGACCTACTAACCACACCCTTTCTAATACACCCCAGGATGCCATTGGCCTTCTTGGCCACAAGGGCACATTGCTGGCTCATGGTCATCCTCCTGTCTACCAGGACCCCCAGGTCTCTTTCACCTACACTACTCTCCAGCAGTTCAGCCCCCAACCTGTACTGGGACATGGTGTTGTTCTTCCCCAAATGTAAAACTCTGCACTTCCCCTTGTTGAATTTCATCATGTTTCTCCCCGCCCAACTCTCCAACCTATCTAAGTCTCTCTGAATGGCAGCACAGCCTTCTGGTGTGTCAGCCACTCCTCCCAGCTTAGTGTCATCAGCAAACTTGCTGAGGGTACATTCTATACCCTCATCCAGGTCGTTGATGAAGATGTTGAACAACACCGGTCCCAGCACCGACCCTTGTGGGACTCCACTAGTAACACACCTCCAACCAGATTCTACCCCATTGACTACAACTCTCTGACTCCTTCCTTTCAACCAGTTCCTAATCCACCTCACTTCCTGGTCACCAAACCCATACCTGATCAACTTATCCACAAGGATGCTGTGGGAGACGGTGTCAAATGCTTTACTGAAATCAAGATAAACCACATCTACCGCTCTACCATCATCTATCCACCTAGTAATTTCCTCATAGAAGGCTATGAGGTTAGTCAAACATGATTTACCCTTGATAAAACCATGCTGACTGCTCTTGATGACCCCCATGTCCTTGATGTGCCTGGAGATAGTCACAAGAACAAGTTGTTCCATCACCTTTCCAGGGATGGAGGTGAGGCTGACCGGTCTATAGTTACCCGGGTCCTCCTTCTTGCCCTTCTTGTAGACTGGAGTGACATTTGCTATCCTCCAGTCCTCAGGCACCTCACCTGTTGCCCATGATTTACTGAAGATGATGGAGAGTGGCCTAGCAATGACCTCCGCCAGCTCCCTCAGCACCCTTGGGTGCATTCCATCTGGACCCATTGATTTATGGATGTCCAGATTACTCAACTGATCCCTAACCCAATCCTCATCTACCATGTCAAACTCTTCCTCTATCTTGACTTCTTCTGGGGCTATATGAATCTGGGGCTCATAGGGAGACCCTGCAGGAGTGAAGACAGAGGCAAAGAAGGCGTTCAGCACCTCTGCCTTCTTTATATCCTCTGTCACCAGGGCTCCCACCTCATTCCTCAATGGGCCAATATTGCCTCTATTGCTAGTTTTGCTAGCTATGTATTTGAAAAAGCCCTTTCTATTATCCTTAACCTGACTTGCAAGGTTAAGTTCCAAGGAGGCCTTAGCTCATTAACTCATTAAGAGTTGTAAATTATTTTCCTTCTCTAGGAAAGGAGATTTCATTTTCCAACTGCCAGCTACCAGAAATGAGATAATTTCCCTAAAGTAGTATTCTGACAAGTACTATTGTTAGGTTCAGGCCAAAGTCATAACAAAAGTACTTAGAGCAAGAACTTAATTACATACGTTTCAAATAATCTTTTGGAGTTTTGAAGTCACCTGATGTCCCACTTGACAAGCAAAAACTTTCAGCCCTAAAACTCTGGACACTGGAGAACATATTGCAACTGCTACCTACAGTCCCCTAAATAGCTAAAAAAACCCCAAACAACAACCACCCTAATCAGACAGAAAATCAACATGACAAAACTCAGTGCCAGATCTTATACAAGGATAAGGTGATACTTGTTTTTTTTAAAAAAAACAAACCCAAACCTTTAAGTAAATTTATTTTACTTCTACATTCATTCTCCCAGGTTCATTTACTAGCTCGCTTGTACCCATCCACTCTCAGGCACAAAGACTCTGTGTGCCCCAGTGGTTTGGCCAGGATTACTTGCATGCCACTGAGGACTAGAGACACGGGTCATCAAGTCCTCAACACACCTCTGGTGCTCTACAACTGGCAGGGAAGAACCAATTTCAAACTTTTCTTGTACTTTTTAGGGAACGAGTAGATGCCACAAGGGCCCTTCTGCCTTTTGTTTCAGTCCTCACAAATAGTAAGAAAAATGAGATCTATAAAAATTAGGAATTTTTGGTCACGTACGTAGCCCAGTCTGTCACCTTCTTGACACCTGTCTTTGTATCAGTGCTACTCTCTTCTTGCTCCTCCAGAACCTGAATGAAGTCACACATTAATGTGTCACACCATTGATGTAATTAAATCTTTTTCTACTGTTAAAATACCTAGATGTGCACATTTCTATATTCATACCAAGCTTAATGCTATATTTCACAGCTCTGAAAGTTAGGTTGTCACATTCCAACAAGTCTTACCTGAAATTGGTTTCAATGCAGAAAGATCTTATTACTTAAAACATGACTTAAATTTATAAGATATTAGCATTATACCACACAGCTTAAATACTGTGGGAAGAGATGCCTGGCTAAAAGCAATTAAAAGACCAGATGACTCCATGACTTCAGAATTGTTGGTAAAAATAACTGATGAAATCTCCACTCTGGTGTCAGGTCAGACGGTGGATGTAGAGGAATAAAGCTAGGAACAAACTATTCTATGTTTTTCTCGAGTTAATCTCAGCAATGGAGAGCTAGTAAAGGTCACAAATTCCTTCTTCTGGAAGTGCTAACTCTAGAAATCAAGCTTTCATGAATAATTTATTTTAGGAAAAAAATATAAAAATTTAAAAAATTGTATCAAACTTGGGGAAAAAAAAATAAATTAGAGGAATTGTTGAGACCACAAAGGAAAAATCTAAAGCAATACCCTGAGTTCAGGTAAGGCTTATGAAAGTTCAAAAAGAACTAAAAGACATTACTTCAAATAAGACCTAGTTTTGGTTAAGTATTTTAAATTCAGGTTCTGATAATGTGCTTAAAAATATTTACTGTTCCTGATTTTGTCTCTTCTCTAGAAGCTGAATCGGTGTCTATATAGATACTACAGAACACAAAGACAATGTTAAACTTGCCAGATGTCTAGTTAGCTTGCTGGAAGTTACTTTTCACATCCGACTGACAATACTGCAAGATGGATTAAACAGTATAAGAGCTTTGAGTTCTATCAGAAGACTGTAGGACCAAAGTTGTATCCAATGCCTCTACTTACACATATATCCATATTTAAACATTTTATTAATCAAGGAGGGAGGGAAAAAAATGTTGGGCAGAGACACAAGCAAGCAAGAGTAAAGGAATTGTTTAATAGCTGAGGCTATAAAAAAAAACACCTCAAAATGTAATGAAACTGAATGGACTTCTCCAGCACAGCACTAGTGCCCAGTCAGCTGGGACAAGTCATGCCCCCTTTCAAGGAGACATAAAGGATACGGTTTTTGCCCTCCATGATCCATATGTTGCAAGGGGTAGCATAAACATTTTCATCACTTAAACATACGGTGGTCTGCAGAACTGATGTGTGAAGGACTCTGACATATATGATGCTAAATGACCAGAAAAGGATCAATCACATCACGGGGATGTCTGCACTATAAGCACTTAGATGCAAATCTGGCCACATAATGTGCCAGAAGAGAGCAACAAGGAGCAACCTACAGATCCCAGAGTGCATGTGGACCAAACGCCAGCCAGCCCCACAGTGCCATCTGCAAACATACAGGTGTATTCATTTCAACCTTTCTTACCCTGCATCACAGCCATCACACAGCAGCAGGCGATCCTCACGGTCGCTTCTGCCACACACCTCACAGAAGGTTGGATCATCCTCTCCATCATTACCCTGAACTTTCGTGTTCTCAACAGGAATCTAAATAAAACAGGGATTGACATTTTACGCAAAACACAGCACTTTTAAAAACCATTGTCACATTAATAGTACCTGCAGCAAAATAAAAGTGAATGAGTGAAACACATGATTTAAATGGTAATTCGGTTTTGTTAAAATGCACTCAATAATAAACCATCTGTTCATGAAAACAATAACAAACTCCTCAATGTTCCCTGAAAACCAACACATTTCTGATAACAACAAAAAACAATGACATCTCTTCAATGTTCTTTTGTGAGATACTACTAGCACACTCAACCTGTGCCTTTAAGAGCTCTACTCTTTTCCTTGTATCCCCCTCCCCTTACAAACTCAACCACAACACAGTATAGCTGGTAGCAAAACAAGAGGAAGAGATCACATATAACATAAATTATTCCTATTCATATTATAATGCCACTTCCATTATGTGGTGCATTTTTCCCACATGGACAGGCTTATCAATGCAGAACAGCTAGGAATAAAAGGTCCATTACTCAAAAGAGGCAGATATGATAACACCCTTTTTGCCATCAGAAATTGTCACACTTCAGTCAACACACAATAGCACAGGAAATGTGGTTAAGGAGGAAGAAAAACTGTAACAGTTCCTTAAAAAGCAATCTCAAAATAGTTAAATAATAGAAATAATTTAGAAAGAAATAATTAATCCAGATACCAAGTATCAGATAAACACGCTAGAAGTATAAACCTTTGAAAGGTGATTTTGTGGCAAATGGCCTTGTTTGCTACAGTAGAAAGCTTACCTTTCGTAAGATTTTACCACCAAAATGTACCCGAATGCTGATGTATTTAAAGAGGATTCGATCCACTGGACAGGAGTTTGCATTCTAGGGAAAAAAAAAAAATCCTCATAGAGTTAATAACAACATCCTTTGGTTAGGTTTTTTTTTTTAAATAAATATTTAATTATTAATGTAATAAGCATTAAATTAATGTAGTCATCATTTTAATGGCTATTGGTCTTGACATTGTAAGTACTTAAATCTGACTTGCCCAGTCTACAAATAACCTGTCGTAGCAGAGAAAATATTAACTTTTAGAAAAGCATTATAACAAAGTAATTTAATAACTATTGAATTGCCAAAACAATCTCAAAGTTCTTCCAAAAACTTCCTTGAAATAGTGCTCATGTTCTTGGGCATTTTCTTACTTTTGGCCAAATAAATGACTAGAAACAGCTTACAAATATATTCAGTAGGAGTGATATTTTTTTTTTTTAATTACTACTGGTACTGACTGCTGCATGCACAGTGAGTTTTGTTATACTTCTCACTGTAGATTATAACTATGGAAACTACACAGTTAGGTTGCAAGGAATTCTGACTGAAAACTGAATTCAGAACAAACTGCTGATTTATTCAGTATTATTTTATATCTTTACGTTTAAATGTTCATTGTCACAACAGGCCCCCATCCAATGCCCACAACACAGAATTCAAGAGGTAAAGACAGATATACAGAGAAATGTACACAGAGAAAGAGACAGAAAACTGGTGGCCTGACATGAAAAGAATAATTTTGGATGCCTAGAAACACACTTGCTTATGATGGTACAGCTTTCAGATAACAGATCAGATCAGGACAGATGCAAGAAAAACAGATCCACACTTCACAAACACGGATCATGCCAAACGGAGCAAAACCCAAGTATGCATAAAAAAGCTTAAGAAAGCAAATATACAGTGTTTTGTTCTCATTCCAGCAGAACAGCATGATCGGAGGGGACACAGCAGAGAACACCAGAAGCCCATCAGGGACAAAACATCTCACCTTAGACCACTCCACAATGCAGTCCAAGCAGAAGTAATGGGAACAATTCTCAGGAGTCCCAACAGCCTGATCCCTAAATGCATTGAGGCAAATGGGGCAGTTTTCACCATCCTCATCAGAGGAAATGCTTGCTTCATTTCCTTGTGGCTCTAATTTCAGAGAATCAGTCATTCCTCCCACAGTGAACTCAGTTCCTTCCTCCTCCTCCTCTTCATCATCATCTTCACAATCTTTGAACAGTGAGAGATGAAAAATAACTCTCATGTATTGCAGAGCTTCAGCAGTGAGGGCAGAAAGGGTGGGTAGGATGAGGTACCAGTTCACAGAAAATTTAAAGTAAGCTTATTTTATGGGACTGAAAGAGTAAAACACATCCTCTCCAGTTTGAGGCAATAATTTTTGCTGTTTTCTTTTCCCTAAATCCTTTCACTAAAAAGCAATGGATTACTCAGGTGAAAAATAAAGCCTGATAACGGGGCTAGTCTTGCAAGATTAGAAGGACAGACAGCAGAAAAACAAGATTATCAAAACAAGAGTGGGGTATGGCAGGCTATAAATAAAGTTACAATGTATCTAACTTATTTTCTTTCTTTCTTTTTTTTTTTTTAAATAGACACTCCAGAGGACAAGCAGCAGCAATATGCTTACCTGCGTAACAGAACATTAAATATTTCACCAGTAAATAATTATTTTGAGAGCAGAGGGATCTGGGTGCCCAGCTGAAGACTGCTTTAGGAAGCTTGGTTTTGGATAAAATTAATTTTAAACACTCAGCAAACATTGCTGAAAAGTTGTTTTTATTTTTAGTATGAAAGACAAGAGATGTCTGTTCATCTCTCTATAAAGCCTGTGAATTAAGTTTACATTTTCAAGAAGCAGTGAAAAGTTACCTAAAATCCACTCTGTTGTTTTGGTGGGTTTTTTCCTTTTGGTCTGTGTTTTTGTTGTTGTTTAGGTTTTTTCTTTTCTTTTTTTTTTTGGGGGGGTGAGGGGAGGATGGGGTGTGGAGCAGCTGTTATTCTTTAGGGTTTTATTAATAATGAAAATGGGGCCCTTGTCTTTTGTCATCTCTACTGAATTCTCCTTTCTCAACATAGCAGAGAATACTCTAAAAAACAGATTAATAAAGCTTTTTGGCACGTGGCATCAATTTTTTAGTTTCTGTTCAAACAAAGTCTATCTAGTAACTTGGAAAACTCTGCTCTTGCCTTCCTAACAAGCTTTAAGATGTGATAAAAAACTTTTGCTTACCCAAATAATAATTTGAGTGCAGCAGTGTCAGAAGTACATGCATCTACAGGGTGTGTTTTCAGTGAAATGAACAAATTGAAGTAACAACCACACTCCTTTTTCAAAGAAAAATTAGTTAAGTCTTCTTTTCTCCTCTCTAGGCCTAACAGCAGGAGTAATCTGTTTCCAAAACATGCTGTCACTACATTCACTTTAGAGGCTCATCCCAAAGCAAACAAACATGCTTTTCATAAATGAAAAAAATAGCATGAGCCATTGATGCAATGTTGACTTTTCTTCTCATGCTGGGGCAGAGATCACTCCTACTAACTCTAACTACTCCACTTCAGCTAGCTGGTAAGTCTTCAAGCATACACACATGCTTTAAAAACTCAGAAATCTGGGAATGTTACTTGTTTATTATCGTAGAATTTGGGCATCGGCCTGACACAGCGACATCTCTGGATTTACATTTCATGTCTAACTTCTGCAGGAAAAGCTTTCAACCCTCTTCTTCCTCCACTTTTTAAAATAAGTCCTGTTAATGCATATTAACAGACCTACCTTCTAATTCTTCATCTTCACTTTCTTCCTTGTTCTCCTCACCTCCCTCCTCCTCAGTGCCATCATCTTCCTCCTCACTTCCAGTATCATCTTCTGAATCACAGCTATTTCCACCATTGTTTTCTTAAAAAGAAAAAAGAATATGAGAGGAAATACCATTTGATGCAGACAGGCAGGCAGAATTATGAAGGACATATCAGAACTCCTGCTCAGGATGTTCTATATGAAGTGAAACCACAGATTTCCTCAGTGCTATCAAAGCTGCCTGAGAAATTCAAGGGAAGCATGTCAGCAAACCAAAAAAATGGTCAGGGGAAAAAAAATAATAAATAAAAATCAACGGTCACAAATATATCTTTACTTCTCTTTGGAGGTTAAACTAATAGGTTATCCAACCTAGAACTAGGAATATGTACACACAGAGAGGCTGCACTCACCTGTTTCACTGAGGAGCACAACACACTGTCTTTTGCCCTTGCCTAGTGCAGCATTCTTGTTCAGCAGTTCATCCTGGCTGTCATCATCCATGGCAGGACATTGGGAATCCACTCCCTGAAAGAAAGCAGATTTCAGTGAGGCAGCGCACCACCTACCCAAGCTAAGCAGGGGTCAGTAGAGCAAAGAGCCTTCAACACATCTGCACAGACAGGAATGGTATAGAAAGGACATGACTCTACAGCAAAGGCAGTGCTCTACAGCACAGCGCTAATTAGCTTTCCCAGTAACAAGTCAGAGGTGGCTACAGGTAAGTAGTTATCACTATGAGAAGTTTCACATCCCTTACTGAACTAGATGAAGCCAGCTGCTTGTTAACCTCAATTCAGGTGGCAGATTCAGCTTTATCTTGGGCTCCTGGATGACAGAAAAAGGAATAACCACAACTCCCCACTGAAAACAGGAATAGAAAACCTGCAAACACCAAAACCATCCTATGGACTAGTAATAAAACACAAAACTGAAAGGGACCAGAGGCCCTTTGAATAAGGCCTAACAGGATGATATTGTGTTCCAAATCAGAATAATCTGTGTTGCTCAATTGAAAAGAAATAAGATTACGTATTTTAGGTCTTTTTTTAAAAAGGCCTTTTCACAGCTCTGTCACAAAATAGAGGAGTCTCAGATCTCACGTTATTCCACAGAAAGGAGAGTTATTTGGTCCATATTAACACAAACACATTAATTGCTGTGCATTAGCGCAGACTAGTAATAAAACTGACAGATACTGAAAGATACCTCATGATCCAAATTCATAATGACAATCAAAAATGTAATTAATTGACACTTATAAAGCTAGATGTCATATCTCAATATGAAAAAAACTGGATTCTTCTACAAGCGTGGCAAAATAGGATGCTCTTCTCCCACTCTTCCCTGCTCCATATTACATATCTTGCACATTAAGAGAATATTTAGAACCCAGCATTATGCTTTATTCAAGTACTCTTGATGTGTATCTTTACTTGTACATTCCCTTTTTGAGCCACACAGCTCTGCACTTGAATGGTTAGGGACAACACACGCAACACACACAGGACACAATGAGCACAGCTTGCGTATGTTACCCCCACCCATCCCTTCTTCCCCGACCCAAATCACTTTGTTTCTGGTTTCTCTCCCTCCTTCCCCCCAGCAGCACAGGGGGACAGGGGATGGGGTTTAGAGTCAGTTCACAGGCTGGTGGTTCCTGCTGCAACTTCCTCCTCAGGAAGAAGGATTCCTTACAGTCTGTCCCTGCTTCCCCACAGGGTCCCTCCCATGGGAGAGAGTCCTCCATGAACCTCTCCTTCATGAGTCCTTCCCACGAGGTCCGGAGCTGCTCCAGCCTGAGCTTCCCACAGAGTAACGGGCTGCTTCGGGAACAAACTCCCCTGGCACTGGGGTCTGCCACAGCTACGCAACCGGAGTCCACAGGCAGCAAATCCTCTGGCCACAAAATCCAAGTCCACTGGCCAAGTTCACGTTCCTCCGTGAGTGCAGGGGGACCGCTGCCATCTCACCATGGGTTGCAGGGAAACTTCTGCTTGAGCACCTTCTTCCCCTTCTTCCTCACCAACCACCAGCACCGCCCTCATCCTCCAGCACAGCTCTTCTTCCCCCAAGTGCTTCTCTGCACAAGTGTTATACTAGGTCTTTCGTATGTTAATCACAGAGGGACATCTGTTGTCCCTCTAATGGCTCCTTGGCTGGTTTTGAAGCAGGGGGACCTTCACAGCTTCTTCCAGAGCCACTCCTGTGGTCCTTTCCCCACTACCAAAAAACCCACCAAACTAGAACAAGAGCCATGGAAACATAGTCTTTCCTAATCCAGACTAAATGGCAAATGGATTCTTCAATGCTCAGGGGGAAAAAAAAAAAAAAATCTAAAAAGAAAAAAGAGCGATCTTCAACAGAACCAAATTCTTCATAAAGATTTCTCCTAACTTCACCAAGAATCTTACCTAAACAGGGGTTTAAACTTTTTGCTAAATTCATGGCTGTTAACAGGATGTGTTTAAAAGCACTTTATGTTGACTGAAAACAAGCAGACTCATCAAAAGCCAGACACTCCATGATGTAACTGGAAAAAAATAGGAACACTAGGAATTTTTCAAGTTTCAGCAGAGTGTATGTATGAATTATTCAAACTGAAACTCAGTTATATAATGTCCTCTGAAAAGCTATGTTAGCTACAGTAACGCAAAAGATGTGGAGAACTATCTGTTGTCCCTCTAATGGCTCCTTGGCTGGTTTTGAAGCAGGGGGACCTTCACAGCTTCTTCCAGAGCCACTCCTGTGGTCCTTTCCCCACTACCAAAAAACCCACCAAACTAGAACAAGAGCCATGGAAACATAGTCTTTCCTAATCCAGACTAAATGGCAAATGGATTCTTCAATGCTCAGGGGGAAAAAAAAAAAAAATCTAAAAAGAAAAAAGAGCGATCTTCAACAGAACCAAATTCTTCATAAAGATTTCTCCTAACTTCACCAAGAATCTTACCTAAACAGGGGTTTAAACTTTTTGCTAAATTCATGGCTGTTAACAGGATGTGTTTAAAAGCACTTTATGTTGACTGAAAACAAGCAGACTCATCAAAAGCCAGACACTCCATGATGTAACTGGAAAAAAATAGGAACACTAGGAATTTTTCAAGTTTCAGCAGAGTGTATGTATGAATTATTCAAACTGAAACTCAGTTATATAATGTCCTCTGAAAAGCTATGTTAGCTACAGTAACGCAAAAGATGTGGAGAACTTAAGGGCAGAGACTGGCAGCACCCACAGAAGAGCAGCTCTATTTGTCCTGGATGTAGCAGGAATTTACACAGAGCACTTAGATTTATGCAGAACCTCTGCCTGTAACACTTCTCCATCCAAAGGCTGTGGCAATAGAGGGCGTTTCTGCTGTCCCGTCATGGCCATGTCCAGCCAGCTATGGCACTCCCAAGCCACTGAGGACAAAACAGGTCAACCAAAGCCACCATAGGGGAAAACCATGGATAAGCCTCCATTTCACTACCTCAGTGACCTTCATGCCCCTGCTCCTTTGCTACCCTTAAAGCAAAGCAATAAGCACAGCAAGGAAAGGATCTTTTTATTTTTAGAAGTGATTCCCACAAAACACAGTTCTGACCAACATATACTTCACTACATTTCCAAACAGCATTGAAAACAACTAGCCATGTTATTTTCACCCTACTGGCCCACAGAAAAATATCCTTTAAGTACAGAGGCAAACAAATCAGCACTTGTGACTTGACAATCTACACTCACATATTTATGCTGCAAATGCAAGCTTGGACTTTGCTCAGAGCCAAAACTCAAGTGTTAAGGAAAATCTGATATTGCAGCAAACAATCAAGTCTTCAAATCTTGCAAGTAAAAAAAAAATAATTCTGTTTTGTGGATATCTGGGAACAGACCATGAGAAACCAAGTGAGATGAAATAAATTTGAGACTTTAAGCACATCACAAATCTTACTTTGCCAACAACCTTCTCCAAACTGATCTTAAGAACTGATCTTTGGTTTCCTAAAAAAAAGGAAACCAAAGTTGACTATACACCGAACACAAGAGCTTGTTCTCTTATTTTTCAAAAGCAATAAGCAGCATTTTCAGGTGTGGGTTGTTCGGGTTTTTTTTCTTGTGGGAGACATTTCAAATGAATTATCACTGTAAAACACAAACACACTCATGATACTCTTCAGAGAGCTCATCCACTTATACAAAAGCCCAGCTTTTGTTCCAGCACCTACCATATCAGAATTTTTCTAACCCCTGAGCTGGAATCGACAGGTACAAAATAAATAGGAAGCGTTTTTATCATTATTATATAAACCAATAAATTTGGTTAAGAAGGAGATCACAGTCATTCCTCCAAGGCTAAAAAGCAACTGGTTTCCTCATGTTGACTGATCTTCTCTCCCACATCCCACTCTGAAGACTTCATTCAAAGTAATTTTGGATGCATCCCCAGCAGGCAGCTTGCAAAGGCAGATGCAGGGTAACCTGGCCAGAGATCCCTTATCTTTAGACTCCCTATCACTAATGTCAGACGTCACTGTTTACAGCAAAACCCATTTCAATTCCCTAGGTAGGTGTGTCATTTGCACACCTGTGGTCTGCATACACCACATCCAGTATTTGAATTACAGGTTGCACACTAGGTCTGCCAAAAGCAGGTACCCTACCCCTTCTTAACATCCCCTTGTTTCAAATTCTCATTTAGAAGACCCTAACAATACTTTTAATACAGTAATTGGAAAAAAAACTATGAGCATGTGGCGGGTGTTCAATCACGTTACACACAGAAGCACTTTTATCCAGCCCTAGGTTCCCTTCACACCCTCACAAGGGCGAAGTCAGGCACTGTTTGCTTACTGCAGCATGGGGTCTACTGTTGTATTAACAATAAGCTCAGGCTTTGCTATTAAGACAGATTATATTTTTACATTGAGCTGCCTTAAGTAATTTTAATTTTACAATCAAATAGCAATTACAAATACTTTCTTCAAGCTGTATTAGCAACAGGGAAGATTAGGTGTTTCCTCCAGACTGTTTACGAAACAAGCACTGCAATAACCAGTGTTTTGAACTAAAATGCTACAGGTCAGTACTTTAATGTACTTTGAGTATGTTCCAACATACTCAAGAAGGCAAGTGTAGGTTTCTAGTAATCAGAGCAGCCATGGTTTGCAAAACACCCTCCAGCTCTACCAAATGTGAGGCTTCCACATGAAGCTGACAGAGCTGCCTATAACAAAGTGACTCTTCCAGTCACAGCATCTTCTTTTCTAGCATCAACCCTTTTCCTCCATCACCAGCTTCTTACTGTAGTTTCCCGTTTTTTGCAACAGAAGAGCTACTAGACAAGGCATTTGTTTTTATTTGCTTGGGTAACACTTGGAATTACACACATGCAAAAAAACCAAGTCAGCTGTATTTTCTCACATGGAGGTTTTGAATGCTGATCTAATTTCATGGGCAATTATTAAGCAGTCATATTCCAAAGCCCATTTACATCTAAATTTAAGTCTACTAAATATTCAAA